CGAAAAACAAAGACTTGTTTTGGCTTAGAAGACATGCCAATTGAACAAGACGAACGAGTCCATCTGTTAGGATTGGGCAGTCGTTTGGGTTCTTTGTTTGCTTGTAATACCTGGTACCTGTCTATGTCTCTGAAAGGGTGGTCTTAGACAGGTATCGGGTATTTGAGCAGTGTTCTTAATTTGGCTCTACGTTGGCCTCACTGAGGTGTGTTTGTGTGTGTACATACAGTATAGATGTACGTACAGTTGTGCTTGAAGGTTTACTTATCCTCCCATTAAAGAAAATTATAAATTCACACTAGTAATTCAATTAACACTGATGAGCTGGGGATAGTGTAGGCGTCAACAGTCTTAACTGCACTGGTGAAGCATCGCTAACACTACCTGAGCTGCTGGCTAATGTTGATTTGTGAGGACATTTGGAATTGAAAAGTTGTTTGAATAACTTGTTTAATTTTACCAGTTCATCCCAAGTCGTGAGGGCAAATCATTTAAGGTAGTGTTGTAAATGTCAATCTATGGATACTGCTGAAAGGCTTGAATCTAGTGGGTTTAAAAGTGAGTATACGCAATACTGACTAAAAAAAAGGGTATATGCTCCATATACCCTGTACTACACCAGTGCTTATGTGCCTTTGCATACTGGAAAGCTGAAGCTCAGCTCACAGCTTTGGAAGAAAGACAAACTATTTTTAGAAAGGCATGCAATTAAGGAAGAACAACATATTTTTGAACTTCCACAAAAGACACAGCCCATGAATGTAAATGCGTCAGTTTTCTCTATCTTTCTCCATTAAACCGACGGGAGATCCACATGGTAGTAATTTACCTTCATCAGTAAAACCTTAGATGCCTTTGCTACCCAATGTGTCAGAATTGTATCCAAATTGTGAGCCCTGTCATAATTTAAGGTCTGTCCAAAAGTCTGAAAATGCACCAAAGTAAGTGAAAAGTGCTGGTATGACAAATAGTAGTGTTATTTTTTATTTAAAGGTATAGTGGAGGATTTTTATGAATTTCTGAAAAGACCCACCCTCTCCATTTTAAAAGAAAAAATGCACATGCACAACACTGTACCTGCTCACCAGAGGGAACGCCTATTAAACGTGAGTGAGAGCATGCACTAGCCCATTTCTCCTCTTCCACGTGCTGTTTACAAGTTGCTGTTTGCATCACTCATACAAGCTTACTTTCCAAAGGAAGATTTGCAATTTTTGCACTATGTCTGACTAACCAAGGGTAAGTGAAAATGGGAACAAGCACGTAGGACGGCCTAATGTAAATATATCACCAGAATGATTGACAATTAGGAGGACCACTTATTTTAATGATCCACATAGAAAAAGAACATCCTCTAATAGCAGAATGAAATCATTCAAAAGCAGAGCTTTTTTGCTCTTCCAAAAAGAGAAATCCCTGTATTTGATGGCAACCCACTAAGGTACCACACCTTTATCAGAGCATTTGAAAATGGAGTAGAATGTTACGGGAATAACTATGATTAATTGTACTTCGTTGAGCAATATACTATGGGTAATACGAAGTAGCTTGTGAGAAGCTGTCAATATATTGATGCAGAAAGGGGATATTTTCAAGCAAAGGCTTTAGTAAAGTAGCATTATGGAAATTTTATCAGCCTATATTGTTAGAGCGCTGTCATTGCCACAGGAATGCAATATTTTTCTTCACAGCTGTGTGGAAAAAATATAGTACCTACAAGACTTTGACACACCCTCTAACATGCTGGAAGTCATAAGGAAGTTACCTTGCAAATGAAAGA